ATTCAGTCTGACTTATCTTTGCTTTCCTTCATAAACCCAGCATAGACCTTTATGTATAGAAGAGGTTCAAAGTTTGTTAAGAATCAACCATAGCCTGGCCTCCTTGGTGTTACAAGGGGTTAAGTCTCAGCTCTGTGAAGCTATTTGCCAGCAAGAGTTCAATCCCCCACCCCAGGGAGCTAACCCACATGGCAGCAGACCTCTCCCGTCTCACCCACTGCTCCTTTCAGCAGTATATTTCAGTCAGTTCACGTAATCTGCTCCCCACTCTGTCTCTGGTGATTCCTCTCACCACCCCTCCCTCCCCGCCCCCTACCTTTGGTCAACAGCCCAGCTCTTGTATACATAAATAAATAAATCTTTAAAAAAAAATCAACCATAGTCGAGCCCTGTGACCTTGATGTGTCACAGCTATAAAATTAGTAGTAATAAAAGAGCTTGGTCACATAATGTTCAGAGAGCAACTTATTAGTTAATGTTTGCCAAGTGCTTCTTATGTGTCAGGTATTGCTCTAAGCATCTTGTTTATCCTAAAAAGCCTATGTGAAATATGGTTATTAAGTCCATTTTATAACTGAAAAACTAAGGCACAATTAATTTATACCTAAGGGTAACAAAGATTTTAAGCGGGTGGCAAAACTTGAACCCATGGTTCCAGAAGCCACATTGTCAACCAGTATGTCATTCTGTCACTGTACAGATTGGGAACCTAAGAAAATCAGCTGAAAAACCATCAGAAAAGGTAAGACTTTCAGAAGGTGGCTGATAACAGAATTAGTATATAAAAATAGTATGTAATATTATATATACACACATATATGGATATAGATATAGCTATGTTAAATGTTTTCATATAAGCCACCAAATACTAACCCCAGTAGAAACTGCAAACAAAAAATAATAAAACTAGGATAATGATAGAAATAAGACAATGAAAATGGAACTTAAAACAGGAAGCCCTCAAAAATAAAAAAGATAAACCCAAAACAAAACAAACTAACAACAAAAACCATAACAAAAAGGCAATAGGCATTTATTTTTAAAAGCCATTTTAAATGTAAATGGCCTGAACTCACCAGTCAAAAAATGTAGAGTAGCTGAATGCATTTCAAAACAAAGTTTAACCTCCTGCTGTTGACATGAAAATCACCTTACCAACAAAAACATGCACAGACTTAGTGTTAAAGGCTGGAAAACAGCAAATGGCAAAAAAAAAAAAAAAAAAAAAGAATCCAAAGAACTATACTTAATCTCATAGAGGACACTATTTTATGACTAAGCTTTTAATACAGCAAGAAGAAATAACGTCATAAATATATAAGTACTGAAAGATGAGGTACCAAGACACAAAAGGCAATAACAGAACTTAAGAGAGATATTGATAACAGTAATACTAGAGGACTTGAACACCCCATTTACAATGGAAGATCAATTAAGACAAATTATAAATAAGGAAACAATCGTTTTAAGTGAGGAGCTAGACGTTGGAGGTATAACAGGCATCTAGACAACACTTCACACCCCCCCTCAAAAAAACCCACCAAATTATTTAACAGTTTAAAAGATTTAACAGTCAAAGGGGGTGGGGAGGTGCGGCAGCTAATATAACCTAGGAATAAATTTAAGAAATGTGCACAATATACATCCATATTAGAAAATTCTACTGAAAAGTACTCAAAAATTCTTGAACAAGTGGAAAAAAATAACATTTCCCAAACAGGTTCTTTTTCCCAAAATTAATTTTTATTTAACACGGCCCAGAGAGAATGGTCCAATTGTACAAACTGGCACTTTCATATAAACTGGTGAAAACTTTTTTGGGGAAAAAGTTGAAATAGTTTCTGTAAGTTTTTATATGTGCTTTCCCTTTGACATAGAAATCATATTTCTGGGACTCTATCTGCAGAAATGCCAACACATGCTACCAAAGATACGCAAGGAATGTTCATGGCAATTTGGCAGTTTTGTTTGTAATAGTAAAGGAGAGAGAAAAAGGTGGAGGAAAGGAACAGAGGGGAGGGCTGGGCAGGGCAGGGAAAACTACTATAGGGAAAGGAAATGCCAAGAAACAGGGGACATATTTTTAAATGATCACTGAAGGGGATGATACAGGGATACTGAAAAAAAAAAAAATTAAAAAACCAAACAATTTTAAATATACTGACATTAAAAAAGTCTTAGGTCTCTCTGTACTGAATGTTTGTGTCTCCCAAAATTCATATATTAAAACCCTAATTCCCAATGTAATGGTATTGGAGAGAGGGTATTTAAAAGGTGATTAAGTCAAGCCAGTGATAGGAGTAGAGTTTTTAAAAGAGAGCTTATTCCTTTTCTCTGCTCTCCTGTTCTCTGCTAGTCAGAAGGCAGCCATCTGTAAACCAGGAAGTGTCCTCACCAATCCCAGCTATGCTGGCACTCAGATTTCCGCTTTCCAGCCTCCAGAATTATGAGGCAGACACATTTCTACTGTTTAAGCCACCCAGTCTATGATAATTTGTAAAAGCAACCCAAGCAGACTGAAAGTCTCTAAGTGAAAAATACAACCATGTTAATGCAAATTGTAGGAAAGTGTACACCCCGTGATCATTTTATTTTTAATATGAAATGAAATTTAGAGGAGAGACGAAAGGTGTGGGGGCTGGTGGTTTGTGTTTTGCTTTCTACACATGTGCAAACAGTATGTATTACTTGTATCTTTAGTAACCATTAGATCCATTAAATACTGAGTCTTGGGCCAGGCATTGGGATGTATATCACAACCTTTGTTATCAAAAATGCAATCGAAATTTAAAAATGATTCTATTAGTTTTGGTGGACTGGAGAGAAGTTGGTTAACTTGACCAAAGTATTCTAAAGATTATTTGTAAGTAGTAATAATAAAAAACATGAGGATCTGCTCTTCAGTGGCAGTGCAAGGATATAGGGAAGATAAGCACCGCCCCTGTGCAAGGAAGACATGGAGTTTACACAGTGTTACGTAGTTCTGACTGTGATGTTGGTGACATGGGTGCACACATTTGACAAAACTCACTGAAATATACATTAAAATAGTGCATTTTATTGCATATAAACGATATCTTAATAAAATTGATGTTTTAAGTCAGGAAAACAATGACACTGAAAAGAATCTACCTACCAGGTATTAAACCTATTATAAAATTTCAGTAATTAAAATACTGACATGGAACTGACACCAACATACACTGATAAATAGATGCAAACAAATAAAACATACAATAATTATATGTCATCAGTTGTAGCAATTTAAATCAGGGGTAAAAAATGGACTTAATGGTTTTCCAGCAACTGGCTAACCATTCAGGAAAAGTAAATTAGTTCTCTACAATGTAAACTAGAATAAATTCCACTTAAAAAGTTCTTAATGCAAACTTAAGCATACCTCAAGAAAACACAGGTTAATATTTATTTAAATTTGGGATACGAAAGGCCTGTCTTAGTAAGATTCTCAAGTAAAATCCATAAACAAAAACAGTAATAGATTTGACTAAACTAAAACAGCAAACTTCTATATGGTAAAGATGAAAAACTGACAAACACTAAGCAAATTGGGAAAGACTGTGCACTTTATGACGGAAAAACTACTTTAACGTGCAATATATAGAGTACTTAAAAATTAGAAACAGAAAGACACTCCAATTGAAAACCGCACAAAAGAAATAATCAATTCACCCACACAAATACAAAAGGTCAATACACAGAGGAAAAGGTGTGTTGATTCCTCTGGGGTAATCAGACAAGCAAACTGAAATAAGACGTCATTTTTGTTAATGTTACTGGTTGAAAGGTGTGGATGCAGAGAACATTTTAAGAAAATACCCAGAAAATCTCAATAATCTAGAAGATAAAGTTTGATCTTTATTTTCCTCCGGAACATTTTTTTCCAGGATGCTTTGTAATAAGACTAATACTTTCCTTAAAAAATCCTAATAATGTTAAGAATGTTAGGTGAGACACGCATAGTTTTCTCCTCTGGACTTCTAAAGTACCTGATGCAGTGCCCTCTAGAAATGCGCCCCTAAAAAAGATATTTCCCCTTAACACGGTTTAGTTCTCCTGGGAAAATACACTTGTGCCCACACATACCTGCAGGTTTTGCTAATGATCCGCATAGTGAGATCATCATTGGAGCCGCCTTGCGGGTGCCCCCCAGAGAAAGGCGGGGCAGGGGGTGCCTGGATCACGCCCACCCTGCAGCATCGCTCGCCCCAGACACTGGATGAGCAATGCGCACCCCAACACCCGCGCGCAGGGCCCACCCGGGAGCCCAGCTGCGTGGTCCTAACTATCGCTCTCGGAAAGAGAAGGGAAGAAGCAAAGCGGAGTCCGGATCCCGCGCCGGCCGCTGACCTTGGGCAGTACCCGCGGCGCTAGGGCCTCAGTTTCCCCATCGTGTGTGGAGGTTCTGGGGCTCCCTCACCGCTATGGCTCCCCTTGACTGGTCTTTCCTGGAGCAAGGAGGGAAGGGCGCCTCCTCTGCGGGTTCGCCCTTCCCGAGTCCCGGGCCGCGAGGGGAATCCCAACGCTGCAGCAGCGCGTCCAGTGCGCGCCCCGGGCGGCCCTCGCGGCGCTCGGGCGGCCATTAGGGGACCAGTCCTTGGACTGCTCGGCCCCGCCAGGCTGCGCAGGAGCGGGGGAGTCTTACCTGGGCTCACACGCGCCCCGCTGGCGCCTTCCTGTCGGCCTCAAGGCGTAACCAAAGCAGGAGAGAGGTGGGGAGGCGCCCTGGCCCCGACTCTCCATCCCTTCGCTGACGCCCACACGGGCCGCGCGGGGGACGCCCTTCTGGGGTCCCCGCAGTCCTCCGGCAGGAAGCGGCCGCCGCCAGGCTAGAGCGCACGGCCGGGGAGCCTGGCCTTCCCGGGCAGCCCAGGCCCCTGCAGCTGCTCGCTCCCCGCCGGCCGCGGCGCCCCGGATCCTCGCCCCTCGGTCTGGGGTCTCTGCGGGTGGGCGCTCCAGCCACGGTGCCAAAGGAAACCTACCGGGTGGGGGCTGCCAGGTCCGTGCCCTGCGCCCGCCGAGGGCCGCCTGCAGAGTCGCCTAGGCTGGGCGCCTCATCCTCCTGGGGGAGCCACCGCAGGACCCCGAAGCCCGGGAGAAGCGGGCCCGGTGCGGTTCGGGCGCGAGCAGCCTCATCCCTTTCCACGGCGCAGCTCCGTGGCGGGGTCCCCCAGCTCGCGCAGGCCATGTGACCTGCGAGCTGCGGAGCCACCGCAGCCCCCAAAGGCGGGACGGCAAGAGGCGCCAACTGACGGACAGAGAGAGAACGGCAGGCTCAGGTCGAGGACGCCGGGATGCTGGTCGCTGTTTGCAGCCACAGCTGGCCATCAAATGGTGTTCTCTGCTGGAGGCATTTGTTTTTGCCCAGAATAAAAATAAGCTGCCGCCACGTCCACCCCCTAATCCTCAACCGTGCTAGTCCTTGTATCGGGTGCCTTACATTCCTCTAGCGCTCGTTTCACTCTTGTAGGTTAGAGTATCGCCCCCAATTTGCAAATAGTGCAAGATTTGAGATGATTTACCAAGTGCAACCCTTATTCCAAAAGTCAGAAATGTGAGCATTTCTTAAAACACAGAACGGTTTTGTCTAACTGTTAGGGGGAAAAGGATGTCCTAAAGCTAATCCCATACAGGCTTTGTGGACTCCACCCCCACCCAGGCCAAAGCCATCAAGACACTGGGAACTCCAAATCCCATCACCACCAAAGGGAAGGGGGCTGGGACCTGAGGGTGGGGTTAAGCAGCCAGGTTGGTATAAAGCCAGACACGTGGGCTTTGGAGGGGTCCCCCATTTTGGCTCTCCGCCAGCTCGCAGCATCCGGCCAGCTCTGAGAGTGCTTTTTGGGTTTCCAGGTCGGCAGATCGGGTAGGACACATTAAAGACTTTATTTCCCTATTTTCTCCCTGAGTTGTACATTTTCCTTATTTCCTTTTCCCTTGTAAATAAACCTTTTATTAACCTTTTGTGTGTGCCTGTAGTGGAGTATTAATAAGTCCCTTGTAAGCGCGCGGGTGAGGACCCACAGCCAGGCAACCCATTCAATATCGGGGCTGCCCTATAACATAGCCACCTAGCCAGGCATGGGATTTAGATCTGTGGGTCTTTCTCCTTGGGGGTCATTCTCTTTCAGGCATGGCTTTGGGTGCCAGTCCACAGCTGTAATCATTCCCAACCCCTCATCTGGGCAGATAGATAATACCATACCCACTTTGCAGGTGAAAAAATAGGTTTTGTCAAAGGAATGGTCTTGTCCACATGACTGAGGTGAATGATCTTCTCTACTGGTTAATGACAATGGAGAGTTTATTTGCTAGGCACTCACTGTGCAAGACACATTTATTATGCAGGGCAATCTTATAAGGTGGTTTATTATTACTATTATTACTTATTAATATTCTAAGAAAAACAGATTCAGAGGGGTCATGAATTTAAATGCATGAGGTTACACTGCCTTTAAGCAGCATAGTTGGGATTCAGATCTTGTTCATGTTTTCTGGGGACTTCAACTGTCTCTAAGACTGTTGCCCCTCCCCCCCCCACGTCTATTTTGAAATTAAGGGGTCTACTCAACAAGCCCTGTGGTGGTAGAAGAAACCAATAGACATTTACCAGACAGGCATATTGTGTACCTGACTCAGGTCAAAATATTTTCAATTTTTCCTTGTAGTTTATTTTTTAATTCATATGGTATTTAGTCATGCATTAACAATTTTCCAAATATTGAGGGCTTCTCCAGATAGGTCATTTTTATTGATTTCTAATTTAACTCTGTTGAAATGAGAAAAAATATCCTGTACATTTTTTTTAAAAATCTATTGAAGTTTTTTTGGTATGGCCTAACATATATCCCATCCCATTGCTCTGTGAACAATGAAAAAGGTGGTACACTCCGTGTTGGTTGCCTCCTGTGTTTTGTCATTCTCAGTTTAATAGCATCTCTTCTGTATTGATTTTTTCATTGTTCTTTCAATAATGGAAAAAAGTATTCAAATCAACAAATAATTATAAATTTGTCTATTTCTTTTTAGTTGTATAAGTTTTTGTTTCATTTTTTTCTTGGTCATTAGGCATACATACATTTACTATTATATCTTTAATCATTATAAACTATCTCTTTGTCTCGGGTAATCTTGTTGTGAAGTCTCCTTGAGATTAAAATATCTACCCCAGCTTTCTTGACCTCCTTTTCTTTGCATGTCAGATGCATTTTGATTGAAAACTGGACATTGTGGAGAATATGTTATAGCAACTCTAACTCCATTTTCTTGTGAAGATTATTGAGTTTTGTTCTGTAGGCAGTGGCTAGGTTTCAAATTTCAAACTGTCTTTCCTGCATTTGCTATTATCTCTGCAGATGTTTTGTTGGTGGTTTCTCCCCAACTTTTTTTTTTTTCAAACTTTCATCCTGAATGTCCTTCCTGTACCTGATTAAATTAGTGATCAGCCAAAGCTCTGGGTAGAAATTTGCTCAAGTTTTGGGCTCATTCTTTCTCTGTTTCTGAGCTTTTTCTCAACCCCACTTAATTTCAAACTGCTCTTCCAGACCCAGCCTGTGTTCTCCAGTGTTTCAAGCTGACTAGCTTGTGGGAAAGAAAAAAAAAAAAAAAAAAAGCAGACTTACAAAACTCACCCAGTTCAAATGTGTTCTTGAAAGGCAGACTCTCTTATTTCTGTCTGCTATTGTTCCAGAGTGTGATTTCCATAAAGAGGGGAGATTTCATGTCACCATCTCCTGGGTTCACTGTAGTTCCAGTGACAGGTAAAAGAGAGGCCTCCTCAAAATATTCAGAACAGATACCCCCAAAATGTGCCACTCTGGCATGAAGATTGTTTTCAGCTGAGGACAACAGAGGAGCTGCAGGCTTAAAAGAAATTTATACCACTGCCTCAACTACCTAGAAGAATGAAAATAGGGGGGTCTTACCCAGAATCAGTGTTCTTACCAGAATAAACGTTTCTATCTGAAAAGCCTGCCTATGCTACCGGGCACACATCTAATTATGGAGTATCTGCTGTTCCTCATCTCCTCTTCATGTGAGTGCCCCTCCTCCCTCTCTCTTTGAAACCCCAAGTTTCATCCCATTTCTTAGCTTAGGATATAGACGCACGCCAATTTTTGCCTCACAGACTTTGGAACCCACATGTCTGCTTAGATTCCCTGTATGTATGGAATAACATTGTGTTCTCCTGCTAACTCTTCTGACAGGAGTTTGATTAGTTAACCAGGCAGAGAAAAACCCAGAGAGGTTGGGGACATTTCCTTTCCTTCCCAACACCGGTAAGAGATAATTTCCCTGGAGTCTGGCAAGGCTGTATCAAAAGGGATAAAAGGATGGAAAAATCATCTGATTGAGCCAGTGGATGAAGAGCAGAGGACACTGGGGTGTGCTAGTGGAGGGGAGTACCGTATTGCTGGGAATTTTAAGGGTAGAAGGTAAGTACTGGCCAAGTTGTTCCTCCTGTGATCCTACCAGTCCTTGATAGAGGCTTTGAAAATCACGAAAAATTTTGTTGAATTTGTATTTTTCATGAAATCATTAGAAGGCCTGGTTCCACTTGATATTGACTCACATCACTTAGAACATGAGTCAATAGCAACAAACTCATGAAGATGCTGTCTGAATGACAACACAGATACACCTATAATTCTGGGCTAATTTCAGACTTAGAGAATTGTAATGACTGTAAAGATTTCTTAGTTTCTCCAAATGGTAACATTTCGCCCCATTTGTTTCCTTATTCTTTTTGATCTTTATATGTGCATAATCTCTCTCTCTCTCTCTCTCTTCCTCTGTGTGTATGTAGTGACCACCTACATACACAGTAAATTGCAGCTATAATGTCCTTTCATCCTTAAAACTGTTTGATGTCTATTTTTAAGCATAAAAACATTCTGTACAAAGCCCAATACAGTTATTAAAACCAGAAAGTTAATGTTGATGCAATACTACTATCTAATATATAAACCTTATTTAAATCTCAATAGCCTCACTAATGTTCTTTTTTAAAAAAGAAGAAAAAAAGAAGAAAAAAAAATTCTGGGTAAGGATCCAGCCCAGAATCGTATTTTGTATTTATTTGTCACATCTCTTTAACCTCTTTTAGTCTGAAACCATTTCTCAATCTGTGTTTGTTTCCTGCTTCAGGTGTATCATGTAAACATAGATTTAGTGGCTAAAAGAAACACTATGTACTTTCTTATAATTCCGAAGGTCAGAAGTGCAAAATCAGCTCATTAGGTTAAGTTAAGGCATTAGCAGGACAGGTTCCTTCTGAGGCTTTCCTGGAGGCCCAGTTTTCTTGCCTGCTTCAGTTTCTAGAGCCCTCACTGGTTCCTTGTTAACTGCCTCCTTGCATAACACCAATCTGTTACTTCCATCATCATATCTGCTACTTCTAACCTGACCTTCTTTTCTCCCTCTTATGAGGGTCCTGGAGATTATAGTCCTAGATAATCCAGAGTCAGTTTCCATCTCAAGATCCTTAATTTGATCACATTTGCAAAGTCTCTTTTAATGTGCAAGGTAACTGCTGTGAAACGAAAGTTTGTGGTCTCAACCTCTAAGCCGCTCAACTTCCTCCTCCCTTTGTATATCAAAACTTGAATCCTCAATGTTTTAGAGTCTGGAAATGGAACTTTAGGAGGTGATAAGGTTGTGAAGATGGAACACTCATGAATGGAATTAGTGGCTTTTTAAAAGCGGTATGAGAAAGATGATCTCTGTCATATTAGGAAGGAAGGCAAACAACCAGGAAGACACCCCAGGTTCAGCAGAGCTGCCCACACCATGGCCTTGGACTTCCCAGCCTCCAGAACTGTGAGAAATAAACTTTTGTTGTTTAAGCCCCCTCGCCTAAGGTCTCTGTTACAGTGGCCCAAGCTAAAAGAGTTAACACATCTGTCCAGATATTAGGTTATGGTCATTTTGCTGGCATGGGGAAGAGTGGTTTAATCAGACTACCACAGTTTTCGTGAAAATAATTTTAAGTCCTTTTGAGTAGAATGTGGATGGAAAGGAACAAGGAAAGGCAGAGGTGAGGGTGAGGGACAGCCATGGGAAGGGCAATTAAAAGACATTCAGGGGAGGGAGAAGAAATGAAAAGACACCAATTACCCTGGATTTCTGGTTTGGCAAATTGCTCACGATTTAGGTGTCTGTGGTGGGTACAAGGAAA